GGAGTCATTCTGGCCGAGTTGTCCAAAGCCCTGCGTTCAGGTCGCAGTCCTATTCGGAGGGCGCAGGTTCGAATCCTGCGTATGACAGACTTTTGAGCATTGCAGATACGAGACATACCTTAGAAACTAATGTATTCTATTCACTGCATGTAGTGGCTCACGTAAAATGTAGTGGGAAATTTATCAAGAACAACATTGTTAGGTTAAAGTCATGCTGGAGCCATTCTGGCCGGGTGGTCCAAGGCACTGCGTTCAGGTTGCAGTCCTCTTCGGATGCCGCAGGTTCGAATTCTGCGGATGACAGACTTTTGAGCATTGCAGATACGACATATTCCTTAGAAAGCTAATGTATCCAATTCTGTCCTTCCAGTCCTTCATGTGAACGTGATTGGAAGGTTGTAAAGAACAACATTGTTAGCATAAATCCATGCTGAAGTCATTCTGCCGGAGTGCTCTAAGGTGCTGCGTCCAGGTCGCTGTCCCCTTCCGAGGGCTCAGGTTCGAATACTGCCAATGAGAGTTTGGAGCATTGCAGATGCGACACATTCCTTAGAAAGGTAATGTATTCAGTTTTGTGCTTCTAGTCACTCATGTGAACGTCAACGGAAATTTATCAAGAACAACATTGTTGACATAAATTCATTCTGGAGTCATTCTGCCCTAGTGGTCTAAAGCGCTGCGTTCAGGTCGCAGTCCTCTTCGGAGGGCGCAGGTTCGAATCCTGCGCATAGCAGACTTTTCAGCATTGCGGATACGACAATTGCCTTAGAAAGGTAATGTATCTGATTCTGCCCTCCCAGTGGCTCAGGTAAAACGTCATGTGAAATTTCTTCTTGATAGAATAGGCGCCTTAGACCATTCGGGCAGAATTACTTCAGCATAAATTTATGCTAACAATGTTGTTCTTTATAAATTCCCGTTGACGTTCACGTGAGGGGCTGGAAGCACAAAATTGAGTACATTACCTTTCTAAGAAATGTGTCGTATCTGCAATGCTTAAAAGTTTGTTATCCGCAGTATTCAAATCCGACCTTCCGAACAGGAATTCAACATGAAGGCAGTGCCTTGGACCACTCGGCCAGAATCACTTCAAGATGACTTTATGCTGAGAATGTTGTTCTTGATAAATTTCCGTGAACGTTCACGTGAAGCACTGGAAGCACAGATGTGGATACACTATCTTTCTGAGGAAAGTGTCGTATCTGCAATGCTCAAAAGTCTGTCACATCAGCAGGATTCGAACCTGTGCCCTCCGATGAGGATTTCGACCTGGACGCAATGCCTTAAACCACTCGGCCAGAACCACCTCAGCATTATTGCCATGCATCAATAATGTTGATCTTGCCAAATTTCCTACGACATTTCACGTGAGCCACTGGAAGTGCAGAAGTGTATACACTATCTTTCTAAGGAATCTGTCGTAGCCGTAATTCTCAAAACATCTGTCATACGCAAGATGCGAAAACGCACTCTCCGATGAGGACTGCGACCTGAACGCAGTGTCTTAGACCACTCAGCCAGAACGACTTTCTCATTGTTGCCATGCAGCAATAATGTTGATCTTGCCAAATTTCCAATGACATTTTACGTGAGCCATTGGAAGCACAGAATTGGATACATTAGCTTTCTAAGGAATGTGTCGTAGCTTCAGTGCTCAAAATATATCTCATCCGCAGGATTCGAACCCGTGCCGTCCATGCAGGTCAGCGACCTGCGCGTGGAGCCTATTGCACTCTGCCAGAATGACTCCAGCATTGATGCCTTTGCTAACAATGTTGACTCTGCCCTAATTCTGATGACATTTTTCGTCAGTTACTGGAAACACTAAACCGAATAGAAAAACTTGTAAGGAATGTGTGGTGGCTGCAATGCTTAAAACATCTATCATGCGCAGGATTCGAACCTGCGTCCTCCGAAGATAACAGCGACCTCCGCGAAGAGCCTTAGATCACTCGGCCAGAATGACTCCAGCATTTTTGGCCATAATGTTGATTTTGCCAAGATTTCGATGACAGTTTACGTGAGCTCTGAATTGAATACATTACCGTTCTAAGGAATGTGTCTTAGCTGCAATGCTCAAAACCTCTGTTATCTGCCGAATTCGAACCTTCGCCCTTCGAAGAGGTCTGCGACCTGAACGAATCCTGAGTAAGATATTCCTGAGAATTCACAGTCACCTAATCACTGCCTTACTGAACAGTACACGGACAGGGAGGAATTCAGGTCAGTTGACGATGCCTTTTATTTTTTTCTCGTTTTGGTGGCTAATGCAGACGAGAAACATATCAACTTTAGGCGTGGTTGCTGAGTGTACCCACGGGAAGTGCGCCGGTTTCCTTCGGATTATGTGCTAATTTTTGAGTTGTGGAGTCGTTTTTGCATAATAGCGACAATAATATAATAACTCGTCGAGGTACGATAGTTTTCCTGCGTGTTCACCGTGCAGATGACGCAAAAGTACCTTTGAGTGCGCTGTATGCTTCTGCGTATCACCTTTGCTACAAATAAGATGAAATGTTTTGTGTTATTTATCTGTTGATTTCGTGTGATATAGTAGCAAGCAAATTGATTAGTAGCATGTGGAAAGACAGTGTCATGCCGATATGGAAGATAGATAACATGGCTATCAATGGATTTCTTTGCGTCGATAGTAAGCGATAGGAATCCTTTGTTCTAACCGGTCTACTTTCAAGCATGCGATATGGTTAATTTCAAGACAGTAAGTCAATGATTGATAGGAGATATTCCATCTTCATCCTTATGCAGAAGGCTGTTTCACAGCTGTGGGAGCTACCGTATAAAACCCTGCTCCTGTGATCAGGTAGACGAAATGCTTGTTTTTTATTGAAAGCGTACACCTCGGCTTTCTAACTGTAGTGTGCTCGTTACGTTCTCTGGATCTTGAATAGTCATTTGAAAATCTGGATTACTTACTAACAAATGTGGACTACATAGATATTTCTAGAACATCTCCATCATGACATCTGCGACGATCCTCGATGAATTGGAGCAATTCGTTTCCGAATTCAGGCAGCGGAGAATAGACTTGGGGTTTGTACGGCTACTTGTGGGATCATGTACTATACTTCGTCCCACGAGCTCATTTCATAATTATTTCATTTTCCATGATATTCAGTTACACACAAGAGGAAGTTGGCTGGTCGATATCGAGTTGTTCGACATACTCGCAGACGACGATTTCTCGTTTCGAAAATCGCCTGCTATCCTTGAAGGTTCTTCTTTATATTCGTTATCAACAAATAACTAATCTTAAGCATCAGTTTAACTTGGTTCACTGCCGATTAAGGATGCCACATCAGTCCCGTGGACGGGTGATTACCGATGGTGCTGCCAGATAGAGAATTAGCCGAGGGAAGGGCGAAACGAAGGACAAGCATGGTGCGGTGAACATGTCAGACTCCGGAAAGAGTAATAGCGCGTTCGTTCCCCACTGCAGACCCCTGCTATCCTGAGTTTCGCAAATATCTCAACCCCATTGTGGCTGTATCACTACCGTGAAAAATTGTAATAGTCACTAAAGACGATGAGATTGTAACTAATCTCATATCAAATAACGCTTGAGGTGCACTGAACGATATCTATATGTCAGGGAGAAGCGGGAAGCAGGACGAAGTGCATTTCACCCAATTGTCATTTGTTTATTTTACTACACAGAGTTTTTCCGGTGCACTTTTTGCACTCAATGAAGGGCTTGTTCAAGATGGATATTATGTAGGCAGTGGGTCACGAAAAGCTCTTCGTTGCACTTAGCTCGCAAAATCCCTTTCTCGGACGGGTTAATTACGTTGACTGGTAGTTGACTATTATGCCATCTTCATCGTCATGGTGAATCTTGGTTACCGTGTAGAATAAGCGGGTATGAAAAGTACCGAGATAGACAGGGGTTAAAACACAAAGTACTTCCAGATGCTAACAGTAATGTGATTGGATATTGGACAACGGTGAATTACACAGGAAATAATAGCCCGGATAGAATACCTCCAGAGCGCTTGAGCATTTTCTTTTCTGTTACTGCATCATGTTCTCAACCTCTCGGGTAGTTACGGAAAAATTATGGTCTACTGCTTAAAAACTAGCAAGACCATAAATGCTGGGAATCAGGTGTCGTCTAATGCGACAGCAACTAAAACTTAAGCCTCGGGTGACGAGTGTTAAATCAATGAAAGACTAGGGTAACCGTTTAAAAAACTACGCAAAAGCGTGACGATGTTAACAAACTTATTAAAAAACACATGAAAGGAGATGAAAATATAGATGAGCGAAAATGGTCTTCAACTTTTAATGTCAGAAAAACCTAGGGAGCACAAGTGATACGACTGATTCAGCGTCTAGGTTGCTGTAGTTCATACGACTCTCATTTACAACAATGAGCGATCCGGAAAGTTTGCCGGAATGATCCTCTAGATCGAATTTGATATTGGGAATACGGAGAGCCTTGCTCGAAGACCGCACGAGAACAGCGTGAATGGGATTTGAATGTTTGTACAAGAAGCGCCATATGCATTCTTCTACCTTCTTCGCCTTCCTCAAAAAATTCTTGATGTAGTCCATGCTTTGTAGTAATATTTCATCAACTCTACCGAAGCAAAAGCAACTTGACAATATTATTGATTTATTGATTGAAAGGAAAGTAGCACATGTGCAAAATGAATATAACGTTATAGAGAAACCATCGGCATGAAGCTAAAAACAGATCTGGCGCCTTCGAGCTGCTGGTTCGCCCTTTCTCAGCGCACTATAGCACAGCATTCTCAAGAAACCTTCCCATAAACGGTTTACTGAACGACGATCAATTTCTGAGACTACGTGCTTAACCATTACATAGGTTCCATGATGAACAACGCGCTTCACGTCTCACAAGCATTCAGGAGCATGTTATTGCAAGGCTGTCCTGGTTCCCATTTAGGAACTCTCCTTTGACCTGAACTCCACCGTTCCCACACTTCTGCTTCAAGGGGCGAAATTTTTTCTCCATTAATAAACTGCCACAGAATTTATTTCAGAGTATGTGTCGTTTAAAGAACATGCTTGCTGAATGGCTGAAGAATGCTGATAGTTCGCCAAACCGAGCACCCCTGATCCCACCACAGTTTTACATCCGGCAAAACAAGACGAGAAGGAGGAGAACAACAATCAAAGTGAGTTGAGCATAACTTAACACCACGCCTCCCTTTAACTCTATCGGAGCAGCGTTTTTGTTTTCACGGCGTTGAAGTTAAATTTAAGTCTTAGTTAAGGTGATATTACAAAACAATGAATAAAAGCAGTCATTTTCTTCTATATTAGGTTGCTCTGCAAAAAAAACAGATCAATACCAAACTAACATTCACAGGTTGAATGTTCTTTTCCTTCTTCAAATTCTTTAGGGACACATTAAGCAGCAAATGGAGCAACATTTTGCCATAGAGCACATGCCAAGCTCAGCAACTCTAGCTCATCTTTCGGAAGAGTGGAAGCTCGATTACGAGGTGACTTGCCACATTGACGTCTTTAATTTTTGTTTTTCATATTTTCAGTCATTTTTTGCTGACCGGAATTTTTGAATTTTACTCGTGTAATAGAGTAAGTTTCTAGCTTTACTGGACCATGTAAAGAAACAAAGCCATATAGACTCAAAAAACGAACAGTTCACTCAAAGAAAAGCACGACTTTTCAAATAATATGTCTTTTTTTGCTTTTTTAAAGCGCGTATTACGCAGTGCGCGTAGGCGCCCTGCAGTACATATGGGATCAATTCCCGCGCCCATGCCCCACTAAGCTTTCCATCCCTCCGGAGTCGGCAAATTGGTACCAGGCTTGCGTGGGAGGATAGTAGCACTGGCTTAATACATCGGTAGGCCACCGTGAGTCATTGTAAAGGCCAGATATGCATTCAACCACCTCCAACGATGCTTAATGAAGTCGAATGCATTGCGCATTCCTCAGGGATTGATCAACGCCGATTTGTTCATCCTTTATTGTCCTCTTAGAGGCTCTCGCTTTTGTATTTTTTTAATCTTTTTCGTAATTTTACCTTCCGTTGAACACAGAACGATTCCATCGCTCACCAGGCGTATAGCCCCAAGATTGGCCGGTCACTTCTAAAATCTGGCAGCAGTTGAAATATCCGTTCACGTATACACTGCACAGAGAAAGGCCTTACATTCAATCAAAAAGTACTTATAACATCTAGCAGTACTTTGTTTCGTTTTAAATCTATTAAGGAAGTTCTTCTGGTACATCCTCTTTTTGTCGAACAGCTACCGTTGTGACGAGTAATGAAGAGACTACATTTTCAACTGTTTCTAAACTGACACCTTTTAACACTCAACACTTAAACCGCGAAGTGAGTGCTTCTTCATAATCTTCGTACCTGGAGGTAATATAATACGAAATGAATTGTTGTCAGTCTGCTTTTTTCCGGCGATTTGTTTTGCTGCACAGCGTTTTTGCCGTACTTTTTACATCCAGTGTACAGCACATCCGCTGTAGGCCTGCCCACTGGACACCGGCTGAGGAAAACCATTTTCTACAATTAGCAATACCAAAAATTCTCTTCTCCTCGAATTTGTTCCTCTCGTTGGGTTCCATGGGTTGTGAAGCGGATATTGAGATGGCTGCGCTGTACTTGAACACTGAAGTTTGGCACTCAGAGGCACTTTTCATTAGTATAAAATGATAAATAACTGCGAGTATTTGTATAGATGTCCTACTATAGTTGCATAGCCGGCCTACTGATTTTCTTTAAGAAGCTAGCTGTTGATCTATGTGTTTTCACGTAGTGTTTCTTTTTTCTGTCATCACAACAACATTCTATTGATGCTATCAAAATCGACTGAAATAGATTTACTTTGCAATCTGCAATAGTTGTAATCTATTCACGGGTTGCATATTCTACATAAAGGATAAAAAAGGGTGAAGCTTTTGGCGTTGATCAATCCCTGAGGGATGCGCCATGCATTCGACCTCATTATGCATCGTTGGACGTGATTGAATGCATGTCAGGCCTTTACAATGACTCGCGGTGGCCTACCAATGTATCGAGCCAGTGCTGCTATCCTCCCAGACAAGTCTGGTACTAATTTGGTGACCCCATAGGGATGGAAGGCTTGGTGAGTCTGGAGCACGTGATCGAACCCGTGTGTTTTGCACAGCACCTTTAACCACTGCCCTACAGGCGTTCCTACATATTCTATACAGTTTGCTAACTTCACAATCAATTTAGAATTTGAATAGTTGACATTAGTTATAACAATTAATGGTATAGTTTAAATGGAAATATTTGTTGCCTTGGCTGCAGCTATAGGTTTGGATCGTATGCCAGCAAATTTTGAGTTCTGAGTTCGTGCTAGTGTTTCATTGCATCCAGTGCAACGTTTCCATTTTTTCCTGAATTGCTTCAAAAACATGTCTATCTCGGCATGAAACAATGCGCACTGTGTCTTCCAGAGTCGAGCATAAAACTTAGGTCATGAACTCCGCCGTAGATACTCTTTGGTCATTCTCACAAAAGAGCCTCCATATGTTTTCTTTCAAATCATCTCGCTTGGAATAGCCATGAAGAGACATAGTACACATGATTCCTTCATTGGAAAGCTAACACGAGGTTGATTTTAAAAAAGAAACTTTTTCACTCGTAACAGCACGGCTCTGAGGAAGGCGAAACCGTCGAGACGTCAGCCATCGACCAACAACGACAACTATACCAACCTCGCACCAGATCAACAAGATCAGTTCATAAGAAAATATAAATAAACAACTTTATTCCGCCAACTTTTCGACTTTTTCGTTCTCCTTAGAGCCGACAATCAAAGTCGTTGGTCCACAGTCGTTCGTCTTCTCGATGTGATGTCTTCGTCGTCGTATGGAGTAAAAGCTTCTTCAGTGGAGCTCCGCACGAATGAGGCAACCTCACCGTCATTTGTCTCACATAGCGTATATATTTTTACTAGAGACGCTGATAGCGTAGTGTTCGTAAGGCCAATCATCACAACCATGATGCTGATTAATCCACCCGAAGCCTACCGAACCTGTCATGCATTCGGGCTTGGTAATTCGGTACAACGAGATTCATAGGAAAAACAGTCCTTACCGCGCAGTCAAATTCACACATGAGAAGTTCTAAGACATTTTTGGAGTATAGATGCAAAGAAATAAATCGAAGGCAAAAAATACTAGAATCCACAGAGTGGAACTGAGGACGGGTAATGTGAAATGGAATGGAAAACTATATATATATATATATATATGTATATATATATGTATGTACATGTATATGATTATATACTACACAATTGTACATATATAACTTCAATGATGCTGAGATATTTTCAAAACTCCGGACCGTAGATGTATGCGGTGGGGAACGAACGCGTTATTGTCCTTTCCGGGGTGTAGCGCGTTCACCACCACACCACGCGAGCCCTTCGTTTCGCCTGTCTCTCAGCTAGTTCTATCGATCTTTTGCCATCAGCAATCACCCGACGGCGGGATTGATCTGGGGGGCCCAAATCGGCAACGAACCCAGTTAAGCACCAACAGGTGATCGCTGATGGCAAAAGAACCATAGTACTAGCTGATAGACAGGCGAAACGAAGGACCCGCGTGGTGTGGTGGTGAACGCGCTACTCCCCGGAAAGGACAATAGCGCGTTCGTTCCCCACCGCATACACCTACGGTCCGGAGTTTTGCAAATATCTCAGCATCATTGAAGTTATATTTCACAATGTATACCCTGCCGTTAAAAAGAGTACGCAGTAAATAATAAGTTAAAATTGTGCATGTATATTTTATTTATTTATTTATACAACCCGTCTTTCGCATCTACTTTACAGATTCCAGCACTCCTCACATTTGATTCATTCCCCCACATCCATGATCCACGAAGGTCTTACAGATTTAACCTGTTGCCTATCTCAGGACTCCAGGAACAATCGATTCAACCAGCATTATGCGACATTCAAGATGCAATAAAGATCCTCAAGCAGTAGCCGAAGGTACACGTAAAAGTTGGAAGACCTTCGTGGACAATGGATGTGAGGAAACGAATCGAATGAGAGAAGAGCTAGGATCCACACAGTAGACGTAAAGGCGGGTCATACAAAAATATATATGCATAGTTTTACGCAGTAAGGGATTGATGCTTCATTTCCAACTAATACGAGAATCGTGGTTTCGTGGAACGGTTGAATTAAGGAGTACTGCGATATTGTCCGCATGTGTTCTGAAGTCGATAACCAAACACTGATGCCACCGTGGCAGTACGGTGGATGGAAAACTTAGGTGCTACGTAGGAAATAAAAATAGGAAAATTGTTCACACAGTATGTGGAAGAAGCCGGTTGCAGACAGAGAATTATAAAAAGAAGAAAATTGTCTTCATTGACGCGTACTGTGTCAACACGCGGAGTTCTGACATGTGTGTTCGTGTTTCGGCATATGAACACCTTACAAGTTGAAGTCGGCCCACGCTCTGCTGTCCGCCTCCAGTCATGCATGCCGCCGTCACCAACATTTTTTATCGATACAGAAGGTCCACCGGACCTACGTGGGACGTGAGACGCTCGCGAAAAGCACCGGAAACTGAAAATATTTTGAAACTTATTTTGTGTCAATTTCCTTATTTCTTATAGCTACCTCTTCTATATAATGGGTATAATTCATAATTGCTATTTGAAATGAAATATTGCCATTTACCACGCAAATTCCCGATCATATTCAAAATAAAGTCTTTTTTCATATTTCGACGTGCACAACAGAGTTTTTTCCGAACAACACCCTCACAATTGGCGTGTTAGACAGCCTAACAATTAATTGGGTACTTGGATACTTGGATGGCCTGACCTCACTGATTGTGCGGGCCCCAGCATTATCTCTATTTTTTTCGGAGTTTTGCTGGCTTAGCCATTGTGGCTCCCTGGAGTGTCGAAGTCAGCCAGACCAAAGTGTGCCCTAGGTCATCAACACCGCAGAGACTCGCAGCCCTTGCGGATCAGAGGAAGATTTGCCAACATGTGACCAGTTTCGTACCAGAAAGGTGGCGGATCTTGGTACCGAGTTATTCTTAACTGGGCTTCTGAATGGAAATGACGGACTTATCTTGGGAGACCCTGCTAGGAGGATGAATCTCCCCTCTGTAGATCGCAGCCCGACACCCAGGAACACCTCCCAGCCACGATGAGGCGGTAAACTTGAGAGGAACAATTAATTACGAAAAATTTATGTAAAGTAAAAGTTCCAAGCACTAAAATAAACCACCAATCACTCTTATGGAAGTCACTTCGGGCGAAGCTGTTGAAATCTAGGGGTTAATCTGGAGCCAAAAAAAACCCAAGAAGAATTTACACAAGTGGGCACGAAAGCACTTTTCCCTAATCTTAGATTGTGGTAGCAGAGTGGTAGTGGTGACTGTCAATAATTCCATAGTCCTAGTTCAACCCTACTATATCAACCAAGTCGTTATCCCTTAAGGATAGGAACATCGCACTTCTATAGGCTCGTCTCATGAAATCCACAAAAGCTGGCAACCCTTGTGATTATTATCTAGACACGCTCTACTATAGCTATTGGCGAATATCAGGGAGAGTAGTCTCGACCGTAATTCAACAACATTCTTGTGGAATAGCAAAAATTTTCAAGCAATAGCCGAAGCAAAACTGAAAGCTTTCTTGGATGACGAAGGCAAGCTACCGAATCGAATGCACGAAGTGCTGGCATTTCGCCAAATATGTGATGAGGGGTCATTTGAAGAGAAGAAGAAAATAGCTTTTTATCTTCGGCTTTAGCTATGCAAAGGATATTTCGTTTTCATATCTTTGATTCCCTCCCAACGGCTTACCGCCTCGTCGTGGCTGGGGGATGTTTCTCGGTGCCGGGTTGCGATGTCCTGCGGGAGGATTCATTCACCTGGCAAGGTCTCCCAAGCTGGAAAGGAGTCCGGCGTTTCCACCAGGAAGCCCAACTAAGAGTAAACCAATACCAGGATCCACCACCGTCTTGGTATCAAAGTCGCACGGTGGTAAATCTCACTCTGATCCACAAAGCTGCCTGTCATGGTGACGATCTGGGGCAGACTTTGGCCAGGCTGTCTTCGGGATTCCACAGAACCACAATGGCCTAACCAGCAAATCTCCGACAAATGGTGATTATGCTGGGGCCCGCACAACTAGTGATGATGGGCCGTTCAAGTATTAAGTATCAAGTAAGTATCTCTGATTTATCAAGCTATGACTTTTTTCTTCATAAAGAATTTCTGCAGCATTTACCGATCATTGTCACTCATGGGTTAGCTAGAATGAAGTGTAGCAAAAATCTTTTCCAGTTACAATAGAATCACATATATAATGAAGGTCGTTTCATAATTTTTCAAATGTTAAATCTTATCAGAAGCGAACTGCATTATACGTGGAACCAATCGTTGTATTTTACAGGTCGTTCGAATTTGGTTTTGCAACAGAAGACGGAAACTACGGTGCGATAGTGTTGATCTCAAAGTTCTCTTACCTGAGCCGGTATTCTTGGACCCTAAGCAGGGGCCAGTCGTCAGCGCCACGGACTCAGCCAACAGCACCGCTGTCGACGAGCTGTCGCCGTCCCCATGCGATCCGTACCCTCAGGAACAACTTTCCAGCTCCGTCGAGACTCTTCCATTTCAATAAATCCTAGCAAAAGTCCACTTAGTTCTAGATAGCAACTCACTAAACGGGTAGATTTTTATGTGTAGATTGGGACGATTTGAAATAGTTTGAATTATTTACCTTTGACAATTTTTCTCCCTTTTTGCCGCTCTTCATAAGTGCTGTTAAAATTTAACATCGTTCCTTATACACCAAACGTTATGGAGCTAAACAAATATCCACAACGCACTATGTGAATGAAGTTACTAAGCTTTTAAGCGATGAGATATTGGTTACCATTCAATTTAACAACCCCTTAACACTCTATATAACTATTTAACGTAGCGCCTGAGATGCATTGAGTATAACACATTTTATATGAAAATAATGGCTGCTTCCAACTTTGAACCAACATATCTCAGCTCCATAAAAATCCACTGTTTGGAATAACCACCAAAAGAGTCTAAGCATTTCTACCTAAAAGATAGAAGCGATTTTATTCTACCAAGATGGAATTCTGATTTTCTAAGAGCACTCCACATACCCGCAATGATGTTGAGATATTTGCAAGACTCCGGCTCGCAGGTGTCTGCGGTGCTCTCCAATTTATCATTTGCATGTGTTTACAGCTCTGGCACTTGCACCTGATAGTTCAAAAATTTACGTATATA